GCGACGGAAAGGGCCGGAAGCTGCTTTGGGCACATACACCACTGATTCCCATAGTTTGAGCTCTTGCCCCTGGAAATGGCAGCCGGTTGCCAGGATAATCAAGGTCCTGGTGATGCATGGAGGTAAGCAGTGGTCAGCACTTGTGTCTTGTGTTGTGCGATGTCCAGTGCTGTTGATTTCTCCCAGTTAAAAGTGTTTGTGAATAAGCGCTTTCCTGGGACCAACACTGGCACACCAGGATTTACACGGTGCCGTCGGGCTCCAGGCACAGCCGTGTTCATCAGCAGTGGTTTGTACATGATTTTTGTGGAATTTCTTTTCAGCCATTATCTATGTATTTACAGAGTTGATACATTTCACTTTTAAAATACCGTTAAGAAGATGTGTCATCTGTACCAGCACCAGGTGGACAAACGGCTTATTAACACCAGAGCATGAGTGTCATCTGGACGCTTTAACACGCAGTAGGAGGTGCGATTAGGGCACCCCTTTGTGCTGCTTGAAGTCAGAGGTCAATTTTTAAGGCACGTTTGTGATGACAGCGCTTGCTCCCCGCTCAGCTCGCGCTGTTCCATCTGAAGGTCAGCATCTCCTTCTCATTGTTGCCTGATGAAGCAAAGAGTTAAAGGGCTCAGCACCCCTCTAGGAGGGGAGGCGGAGGGGAAGCCAAAGCAGGAGAGAGAGTGCTTCGTTCAGTGTTTGATTCTTGGGGCTTCCTGTGACAGATGAACATTAATCATTTAATTATCGTTGTAGGAACTTGTAGGTTTTTTGTTTGTTTCAGAGAAAGTAATTTTCCCCTCTATAGATTCCTTCCTGCCCTTTTCCCTTCCTCCCTCCCCAGGGTCCAAACACAGAAATAAAGGAGGGAAGTCACCCCCAGCCCTGTGTCTGGAGTCCAGGGGTTTGAGAGAGCTTTCAGCAAGAGGGGAGCAATTTTGGCTGCCAGTGCTTGATCAGATGCTCCCCAGCCAGCTCGGTCGGGACAGTTTCAGAACCAGAAGAGAAGACCCTAAATTTTCCCAGTGCTGTGGCTGCTGCTGAAAGAGGGGAGATTTAAATTAGATGTAAGGAAGAAATTCTTCCCTCTGAGGGTGGTGAGGCACTGGCACAGGTTGCCCAGAGAAGCTGTGGCTGCCCCATCCCTGGAAGTGTTCAAGGCCAGGTTGGATGAGGCTTTGAGCAACCTGGTGCAGTGGAAGGTGTCCCTGCCCATGGCAGGGGGGTTGGAACTAGATGGCCTTTGAGGTCCCTTCCAACCCAAACTGTTGTATGATTCTATGAAGGTTGGTGAGCTGTTCCTCATTCCGCCGTTCCTTGTTCCGCTGCGCTGCCAGGCTGCTGGCTACATCGACGTTTCAATGTGCCTTGTATGAATCATTTGAGGTACTCCAGTGTGCAAGTCCAAATTTGAAAACCTTAAATCCCTCATTCTTCTGCTTTTGGAGGTTCCTACAGAATTCCTGATGATCTTTGTTAGTTGGGGCTTTTTTTTTGTGCTAGATATGAGCCCCTCAAGCTGCTGGCAGTCCCTCTCCCCTCCCTTCCATCCACAGCTCTGGGCTCCTGCTCTTTTCCCCATCCGAACCCGCAGCAAGCGGGGTTAGCTGCCAGTAAGTAACTCTACAGAAAAGCCAGCAGTTTCTGGCCTGCGAGGCAGCTCGTGGGAGGTGTCGACAGCAAGATGCTGTGTCCCAGCAATAGCTGCCTGTAGAGCAGCTGGGCTCAGTCTTATAAAAGCACACCCTAATTTTGACTGACCTAAATATTCTTGTGCTCTCTTGCCGTTCTGGTGTACCATCATGCAGTCCCTTCTGTAGGTTACAGGTAACTATGTGAAAAGGATGCCGTTCCTTTTCCTTCTCTCTGCCTGTATGAAACCTGCTCACTTCGTTTTGACCCCTTTTTGTCTCTGTTTTCCTCATCTGTAATATCCTTCCCTTTTATCTGATGTCACTAGTTCTTGCATTAATGTATAATAAGAAAGAGAAGCCCAGAACCTACAGATCACAGCTGAGGTTTTGGCTTCAAAGTATTAAAAGAGTATCAAGAACCCTCAAGATCAATGTTTTGTTGGAAAAGTTCCCCAAACTAGTCCAAGAAAGGAGCATAGTGTAATCTTTCTTTGAGGTTGAAAGGAGAAAGTACTAATTTAATGCAGAAAAGATTGTATCTCGGACTGGCATAGGAATAGAAAATAAATAGGTATTAAATTACATTTGGCTTTCTCAAAATAATCTAATAAAGCATCTGCTGGATCAATAGCTGAATCATTATCCAAGGCACATAGCAAGCTTTCCCTCTTTTAATTTGAGATGCAAGAAAGAGGATTTTACATTACCATAATAAAAAGAATAATACTTTAAGCCTTCATAGGAAAAGGCAGAAGTAGGGAAAAAAAAAAAAAAAAGAACCATACTTTATGCCTTAAGCAAGTGTCATTTTTCATTTGAAACATGTAATTTAGGGATATTGTGAAATAAGGTTTTTATATTTAATGACAGTCAATCTGTCAGCTTCGCTGAGCTGTTTGACAAAAAGAACCCAACTCAGAGTCTGTGAAAGAAGACTTTGTATGCAGGAAGAGAGGGGAAGGGCAAGACAAGGCTTTCGACAACTTTGTTCTCCTTAATTAAGGCTCACTGGGAGGGGAAAAAAAAATAAATATGGAACAGTTATCCACTGAAAATGTGGTTTCATCAAAAGAAAATGAGGTCTGTCCGTGTTGGCTGCTGTTCACTGCTGCAGCGTGCGCAGCCACGAGCAAGACTTAGGTAGGGAGAAACTGCAATCGCGTGCAGACCGTGGCAAATAAAGCAGGAGTAACAGTGATGTGTTATCAGCCTTTCATTT